ACTAAGACCTTTGTAGCGCTCTATCTCATTCAGTCTTCATCACACCCCATTTAATAGGGGTTATTATCTTTACCACACCCCATTTAATAGGGGCTGTCATCTCTCTCACTTTACAGATAAGGAAATAAAGGCTAGAGAAGTTAAGTCAGTTGTCCAAAGTCAAACCCTAGCAAGTGGAGGAGTCAGAACTTGAACAAAACCAAGTCTGCTCAACTCTAGAGCCCTATACTCTTAAGTCCAACTAGCATTTGAGCTCTGGGGAAATTTCTTATGCTGATTCAAGTGTGTATAGTGTTGCTATCTGGAAGTGGTACATAGGCAGCAAAGTGCACGTGATCCTAGCCACGCCACCCTTTGCTGTGCAAGGCTCCCAGCACAGCCTGCACTCACCAGCAGCTGGTGGCTCTGTTTGACCAGAAACCACGAGGGACAAAAGCAAAATGTCTATGAAAAGTCTGTCCTTCAGCATTGATTAGTCCCAGGGGCAGGCTGGAGAGTGCCCCAGAGTGAGCCAATGGCTGCAATGCCAGACACTAAGTTGGGAGTGGAAGTGAAAGGTAAGGAGGCCAGAGTGGCAGAGAACTACGCCAAGCTGTCAGGACTTGGGCAATTTCAACTCTAATGCTCTGAGCCAAGGACAGGTCACTGTGCCTAAAATAACCTCCCAAAAGAGCCTTAACTGGTCGTTTTGCAATCTCTATCCCAGCACTGACTTTTTGGTCAATGTAACTAATATTGACTGGGCCTTCATTACATGTTAGCACCATGCAAGATACAAAGCTTTGGTCTCCCACAGAGCTGAGGCAAATCTCTAGGAAACAACGAGAGAACTGTATAAAACAATAGACAATCCAGTGCCAACCTGTGCAGTACGAGCCCCAAAGGCAGCTGAAATTCACAGAAAGGAGAGATCCGGGTGTGCTGTCACAGGCAGTGGTGGCTTCTTGGAGCACATGAACTTGAATTTGGCCTCAAGGAAAGAAGAAAGGAAGGACAGCATTTCAGGTAGGAAGAACAGTATGAGCAAAAGTGAGGTTGTGGCAATGAGAACGAATTGTTTCTTGGCTTGTAAAGGAAGCCCCTCGTGGAGCAAAGGGTATCTGTGGGAAGAGAATGGGAGATAAAGTCAGATGAGTAGGGAAGATCGGACCGTAGAGATCCCGCATTCCAAAAATATTAGATCAAGCAAATTCAACACGCAGAATCTAGTAGTTCATTGTGTAGGCAATGAGAAGTCATTTCAGGCTTGAAACAGGCAATTAACAATGAAAAATAAAATTTTAGGAAGATTAATTTCGTGGTAAGGATTAGAATAAGAAGGATTAGAGATAAAAGGACTAAAGGCCGAAAGCTATTAACCTAAAAACCTATGCACTTCTTTGAGCATCCACTGAAAGTCAGACTGCAGACAAACATAAGGAACATAGTCCCTCCCCTTAGGGCGTCACAGGCCACTGGGGAAGCTATTCACTGATCCCATAGTCACCCATTAAGAATCTACTGTGTGCCCAGGATTACGCTGTGCACTGGGGAACACAGTGAATAACAAAACAAAGACCCAACCCTCATGAAGCTTATTCTGCATGCGTGTGGAAGACAATATAAAACCAAACAAATAATTGTATCAGTATAAAGTCAGGTAACAAGTGCTATGAAGAAAAATTGAAAGTAGGGTACCGGGTGGGGAGTGGTGGGATGGAGTGGTCTGGGAAGGCCTCTTTAACAAACTCACACAATATTTCAAGCCCAAAGAACAAGTAAAACGATGTCACTGACAGAAATAAGGATATTGAGGAGGGGACCTCATTTGTAAGACTATGCAGAAGGTGGGGAATCTTGTTTCAAGTGAGTCAAGCTGTGATAACAGCAGGGTATCCATAAAGAAATGTCTAGACTCTATAACTCTACTCTATAAAACCAGAGAAATCAAAGTTAGACACGTAAATTTAAAAAGCATCCATTGATATTTGAGCGATAAGAAGCCTTCTTTCCAAAACTAGTTTACATGAAATGAAAGTAGCTCAAGGACTAAAAATTTCTTTCAGGTGGGGTATAAGATATACCAATAGTGTTATTATATCTCCTATGATGAGCTCCTCCCTCCAGCCTCCTGGAATCCCAGGAGTGGGCAGGGATTTTGTGTAAACGGCAGGGAGCTGGTAACAAAATATAGTAATTGAAGCTCACACACAACCAACCATCCAAAAGGCCTCTGTCTCCTGTTTCTTCCATCCCCAAGGCAGTTACCCCTTGGACCACACATTGCCCCTCTGTGATTTTTCCCTCTGCAGATCACTCTGGGTATTGTAATGTCTTGGAGAAAGAAATTTGGAAAGCAAAATAAACAAATTTCAAACTGGCTCTTCCCGCCTTCCTAGAAATGGCAAGAATTAGATGTTAGGATAGATATAAGGGTAGAGTGACTGTTTCAGTTTGCCCAGAACTGTCTCAGGTTTAGCACTGAAATTACTCCATCTCAGCAAACCCCTCAACCCTGAGCAAAACACAATGGTTGGTCACCATATAGCTTGGTCTGACCTGGGTCTCTCCTGCATGATGCAACACAATGCCTTACTTCTCTAAAAGTGATGTC